GTACCAAACAAATGCCCAGGACCTTGACAAGATGTTTCCTCCAGAATGCACTGGAAACCAGAGCAACTCAAAGGCATCCAGTGCCGAGAGCTGGCTGTATGATGCAGAATGAAAGAGTGCATAGGCCCGTGGGAAGCACCAAGTTTGCACGGTTTTAAGCTGTGAGCCGCAGCCGCTGCCAACCCGAAGGACGGCGGCGGCACTCACTGATGCACTCGTCACTCCCATAGGAGTGGACGAATGGCCCTTTTCCTAGTTCCCTTCCCAGTTTCCTCTCAGGGCAGGCTGAGAGTGATCTGTGCCACCCTTGGAGGCAGGGGCTTCTGTCATGCTGTACAGGACGTAGGACCACAGGACTTAGGGTTGCCTGTCTGGGTTCAGGCCCCGATCTACCTGATGCTAGGATAGCTGTGACCAAGCCACCACTTGTCCTGGTCTCCATCCTCTCCCTTGTGGAGTGGGAGCCTCACTGCATGTCCCTTGGGGATTCCAGAGGTCATGGGGGAGCAGTTTCAGAGGCACAGTGAGGGGCCTGGTGCAAGCGCCCAGGACCGCAGCAGCCCGAGTCTTCACCCCCACCTGGGCCCGTACCTGCACGTCCAGATGTGTTATCTTCTGCGCTCACCTCAGGGGATCCAGGGTCTGCACTTCTCCAGGAGGGAAGGACAGGAAGAAGAAATGGGTCCCACAGAAGATGAGGGTCAGAGGACAGAGGGCAGGGGACGGTGGCTGCAGTGGCCCCCAGTATCTTGCTCCATGCATCAAGAGTGGACTCTTTCCAGAATTCCAGCATTGTGCAGAAAGTGCTAAGCCTTGTCTTTTTTCCAAGGAGTAAGGGATGGGAATCTCTGGAGCATGGGACTCCAGAGCCTCACTTTTCCTTGCCAGGTGAAGATGAGGAACAGGCACAGTTGGCCCACACACATTGCCAGTGAAGAACTGAAAGAAATGAATAAACTCACTTAAAGTAAGCTAATCAGCATGTTGATGGGTCAGCTGGAAAACACTTTGGGGTCAGCAGTGTCCCCAGAGACTTCCCACCAGCTGCTACCAAGGGCTATGAGCATGGACAGTGAGCTTGTTCTGGCCTGCAATGCATTCATGTGTAATTCTCACCAACTCTTTGTCCTTTTGGTCTATGATTGACCTAAGAAATGGATTCACCTTGAACTCAGATTAAGGGTTTGGTGTCAAGCAGCACTGAGCTGTTACCTGGACAGGTTTAGTGCTCAGGTAAATCAAGAAACCCAGCCCTGTGCTGTACTGTGCAGGACCACATGCCACCCAGGTGCCACGTTGGGATAGTGGGTCGAGGTCTCAGTGCAGGGCCTTTGACTCAGCCTTTCCCTGCCTGTGCGCACAAACATACAAGGTGAGACCCAACCAAACCAATGTTTCGCATTTAGTGCTGTGTCTGATACAAAAGGTGCTGCATTTCTCCAGTAAGTGAATGCAAGTGAGACAGCTTCCCACCCTTTGGGAAGATCTAGGAGGGCTGAGGCAGAACTGAGATGAAAAGGTAGTTCTCACTGGTACCCTGATTTTGCCTGAAGGATGGAAGCCAGCTTGGTGGAGGACCTTCATCTGCTCCTCCTTCCAGAAGCTGCACGTGGGGCTAAGTCCTAGGCCAGAGGTGTGAGCACACCCGTGGTGTGAGACCATGGAGCTGGCTGGAAGCACTGCGCCTGTCCAGCCGAGGCTGCTGCCAAGGCCGCAGGCACGTTTTCCTTCAGACATCAGGATGCGGCGGACTCCGAGTGATCACATTTGTCTGTAGGACCTGAGGAAGTCCTCCCGAGGCACACTGCAGCTGCATCAGGGTTTTCTCTGGACAGTGGATTTTCCTTCTTTATCAGTTTTCTTTTTCACATTTTAATTTTATAAGCAAATATAATTGGAATCTGATAAAATGTGTCACAAATCATTTTTTTAAGGAGAAAGAAAACCAAAAACAACATAAAGACAAAGCAAAGCAATATAAGATGATAAAAAATGGTAAAGAATTTCAAATCAAGAATAGAAAATCATTGATCACTTTTATCAGTGGCCCCATAATCTCCTTGATCAGAAAATTTGGGACACAGCTGAGTTACAGGATGTTATAGTACAAGTTCTCCTATGTCCTGAGTCTTCACTGACCTTGAAAGGGTAGGGCCAAAATGTTGGCTGTGCTTGCAGCCCTTCTTTTTCTCTAATTTTTGGTCTGCAAACTTAAGTTGTTAACCCTCCAAAAGATAAGCTTAATGATATTATTACCCTATAACAGGCAGTTGAGCTTAACCTCACTGTCTGAATATCCAGCACCTTAGACATAACATGAAACAGGTATTTTCCATCAAGTATTGACATGTTAAACTTTAAATCCCTACAGAATGTGCGGGGGAAAAAAGAAAAAAAATAAAAGAATAAAAAATAGGAATAAACAATTGTATATTCTTACACAGAAATTTAGAAATCTAACCATATGCAGCATTGTAACAGGATAGTCCTATGACATTTATTTTCTTCTCTCTTGTTTTCATTTATTACTTTTTTTAAAAAAACAAACATTTACTTGAGAGACAGTATAGCAATAGTTGGTATGACATGACAAGCAGTACATATTTAGAAGACCTAAGGAGAGTCACATGGAGAGAAAACATTCTCTCAGACTTTCACAGAGAGCACATTGGTCAAGCAATGGCTGTGACTCATCCACATGGCTGACACTGACAAAGGATCTACAAACTGTAGTGCAGGGTTTCAGGGTAAATTCCGAGGGGATTGACTAATCTTGTCAGATACAAAACTTATGTTTTGTTATATAGGTCTTGCTTTATCTTAGTCTTAACCATCCAGCAGAAAAGTATAAAAACAAGATGTAAAAAGTAAAGTCATATTAATATGCTGAGCTGTAAAAGTCTCAAATCAACAACTTCAGACATTGCCAGTCTTACGGATAACCCGCTACTATTACGGACAACTGGGGCATATTGGATTATTTTGCTGAATTCACACACCTACAATATTTAAATGGCAATGGAATACCCATCTCTGAGAAAACTAAATTAAAAAAGGGGATACAAATAAAGGACCATTTTGTATCTGTATATACAAAATAGTTAGGATAGATATACCGCTACTTTCTCTTAATTCAATGAGAAGAAAGATTTGTACTAATAGCGTTTAGACAAGATATCATGTCTGTATCTTTTACTATGAATAACCACTATGAAGACAACAATATGCAATGTATTAATTACTGTAACTGTCCCACTAATTGGTTTTGAAACTCTCTCATTGCTATTTGTTTAAAAAAAAGAATAGAAAATCAACAGTGGTTGTTATATATTTTTATCATCAAATTTGTTCAGATTATCAGACATCGGCATGCAAGATTGATCAAACAATTAAACATTAACTCTTCCTTTCAATAAATGTTAATTTTTGTCCTTGTCCTTTTGATATTTTTTAACTTAGTTTCAAGAGGATATAAAATAATAGTTGAGACATGAGAGACGATGCACACTTGGGAAAACAAGAGGGAAAGTTGTGAGCGGTGGTTGTCTAATTGCAAATTGCCACCATCGGGGTATGCAGTATGAATCACTGGGGAGGTGTGCTCTTGCAGCCTAGTGCACTAGCTCGGAGGCACAGGCGAGCGGCCTAGGAATCTGGGTCACAGTCCTCGGTCCTCAGTGGACTTCCTCCCTCACCTGTACCCTGAGAGCTGCCATCCATCCCCTGCAGGCCATAGCCCTGCTGAGTGCCTGGTGCGCAAGGGGAAGGTGGTGGTGCACGGCATGGTCTAGGGCCCATCAGAGTGCTAGGCCGGGATTGTAGGGCTGCTGCAGTGAAGGCAGAGAAGTCGGCCAGTGGTGAGCATGAAATGATTCCTCCTGTCTCCCCATCTTCTTGTCTCCCATGGGGGAAGTCCAGAGAAGGGTGTTTTACATGAGTACCTTCCTGTTTGCAGCTCATATTTCTCCAGTGTTCAGCAAGTAATCCAGCAGACAGATGTCACAGCACAGAGTCATCATTCTGCATTTTAAAGGGAAAAACTGGCCATTTCAATGATATATTAGAACTCAAAGGATTACGATTATATGCCACATGTGGAAATCAGAATACAGGTGCAGAACCAGAGCTGGCTGTGAACTTGGCTCAAAGCAAGGAGAGGGCAAAGAATAAAACCTAAGTGTGGCCACCAGGGTGGGAAGTGCGTGGCATCTAAGAACCTGTCCCTGCAGCAAAAGACTGGACACTGAGGCCCATGCACGTGGCAGTGGGGGGGGGTGCCCTCCTGGGCATGGGCACCCCAGTTCCATGTCCTCTGAGCTCCCTTTGCAAGAGCAATGCCAAGTCCGTGGTTCCAGGTGTTCAGGACCACTGTCACCAAGGTGACTTCATCTGCCCCCATCCTCAGTCCCCGTGTGGACTCAGTCATCAAGACTGTCCTAATTCCAAGAGTGAGAGTACACATTACACCACAAGACTGGTTCATTTAAGTGCCAAAACTTTCACATTCTCTGCTTCAATGTGAGACTCCTGTTGCACAGGTCACAGTGTAATTTTTGAAGTGGAGAAATCTGATCAGGGAAAGGAGGTGTAGGTTCTCAGCTGTCATTTATCTTGTGTTGTCCCTCTACTCCACAAAACCTGAGGAGAACCAGAAAAAGCAGCCAAGAGGCACTGGACACAGGCTCACAACCCCAGGGACCCAAGCTAAGGTGACTAGGCCAAGCTGACACAGAGGAGCAAGTGTCAAGCCACCCACATACTGTTCATCTGTACCCTCGAAAGTTGTGTGTCTTTATTACATTTTGTGTGACTCAACACCTTAAATTATCAATTCTTAGGCTGCCTTCTGTTTTCCAGCCGGCTTTCAGAGTTTTCCCCATACTCTAAGGTGACAACTTGCTTACTCTCAATCCAAATTGGAAGTCCCCCAAGCAGCGGTGAGCCTAAGGGTGCAGGGATTCCCTGGACCCCGCTTATTCTGGTGCTTTTTTTCTCTGCAGCGCCCAAGCCCTGGACATCGGGATCCTGGACATCTTTGGCTTTGAAGAATTTCAGAAGAATGAGTTTGAACAGGTAAGTAGGCTCTCTGTTGAAAACTGTAAACTTTCCTTGCTTTTCAAGTAAATTAGCTCTCAATTGAATAGAGATGATCATGTAATTATATTCAAATCCAACTTTAAACAAGTATCATACTCTAGTGTTTCAAAATGATCATACGAAGATTGTTGATCATGCATTCATTTTATGTGGCCCTCTAAATAACTGGCATAGTCACGCCTTATACTGCAGTATTTGTTTTAAAAGGTAATTAAGAAGAAGGGCTGAGTTGTGTTCATGGAAATGAAATTTTTGCTAGGGCAGGGGGGCAGAGAATGTATTTAAAATCAGGGCAAAAGCCTTCAGAATCATTGACCAAACATCAAAGTGGAAATACTCTTATTTCACCAGCTGATGTTTATAGATTCACCTCCAGGTGACGTTCACATGTGAGACTACTGGAAATTCACAAAAGTACCCTTGAGAGATGTTGGCTAGTATTAGTTCACCCACAGCATAGAGCATTTTAAACAATACTGCAGTATTTAGGGAACTTAGTAGTACTGCATGAATGGCTTTATTAAACTATAGGTATATGTAAGATAAAATGTTAAAGAAAGTAGAAGTACAATTTGCCTTAGCAAAGAAGGAAAATAGACCTGTGAGAAGGTACAGGTGGAAAGAGAGAAAATCAAGTAGCATTTATCATAGCAGTAAGTATAAATAACCATGGCACTTGGGGAGATTTTTTAATTTATAATTCCTTAGCTTATATAATTTATCATTTGCTTAGCTTTATTTTCTTACAGTCCATAATGAGTATTTAATGACATTGGACAAGGATTTAAATATAATGTGTTTGAGGGCCAGCGAGATAGCTCAGTGGACTAAGCACTTGCTTAAGCAAGCACAGGGATCACAGTTTGATCCCCAGCACCACATGCTGTGCTGGGCCCCAGGGGCACTGAGCCAGCGACCGAGTCTGGGTGTGGAGGCACACACCTGTAATCCCACTGCTGGGGAGGCTGAAAACGGGAGGATCACTATGAGTCTGAGCTGCTTAGTGAGACCCTTTACCAATTTTTAAAAAATAATACAAATAAATAAATAAATATAATACCTTTGAAACCCAGCTCTGTAACTGTGTCTGTAACCAGCAGACAGGCCTTGGCCAGGATTGTCTGTCAGTCCAGGATAAGGAAATATTTGCAGATTTGTGAGGCGGAACACAGTGGTAGAAGAAGCTGTTGCTGGCTGTCACAGTACCCTTGGGAACAAGTGTCAGGTGACCACAACTGCTGCTGGGGACACTTAGAAAGTGGTTAAAGTGCTGCCGTTTGGTTTTGTCAGCAACCATGCTAGGTCCTGTGTGGAGAACCCAGTCCTGCTGTCTCCCCGGTCCACAGTGACAGAAGCAGGCCATGTTCTTTACAGAAGTCTGCTTTGGAGTGAGGCCAAGGAGGTTCCTCTTCCTTTTGTGTGTGTTCATGCACAAGTAGCGAAGGGAAACTCCTAGTGGCTTAGTTATCTATTTATTACATCATCATCATCATCATCATTCTTCTTATTATTATTATTATTATTATTTTGTCTTTTTGTGACAGGGCCTCACTATGTAGTTTAGGCTGGCCTTGAGCTCACTTTGCAGCCCAGATGATTTTGAACTTGTACCAATCCTCCTGCCTCAGCCTCCTGAGTGCTGAGATTATAAGTGTGCACCACTATGCCCAGCTATTTATCTTTTTTATTTTTGGCTCTAAGTACCACAGCAAGGAGCATATGAATGCCCCTGGGAAGTCTTTTCTCTGCTGAAGTTCACACAGTGCCAAGGATCCCAAATGGATCCCTTACATTTTCACCTTGGAAAAGCCAAATTTACGTGTCTGTTGTGGAAGTCGCTAGGTTGCCCATGGCCTGGTGAGCAACACGTAGAAGCCACAGCTAGAACGGCATCCCGTGTGGTCCTCACTGGGCGTCTGGCTCCCTGGCTGCAGCGCCACACCCAGGCTCGTCTCTCATCTGTGCGCAGTCTGGACCGATGACAAATGCACAGCCGACTTTTACGTGGCTCCCTTAGTATTAACATGTATCTGCCTTACTGTAATTACACAAAGCCATTATTCTCTCTTTCTGCTAAATTAAGAATGCCTTTCAGAGTAGATTCATAGCCTGAGACTTCTGGGAAAGGAAGAATAGCATTTTTAAAATCTAAGAATGAATCCCTATTAAATGCCAATTTTCAGCACATATGAGTCAAATGGCAAGCCAATTCTTAGACTTCCATTATGGAAGAGATTTCTTTTAATTATCATGTTTTCTTTGCTGCTGTACATGTTAGCAATAGGAGTGTTTTAGAAGACACAATTATGTGCTTAATGATGAATTCAGACCTTGTCTTGGGCTAGAGCGAGCCATTTCCTTCTCACTTCTTTCGGGCCTCTGTGCCCTTGTCGCTGGCGCAACGCGGACTTCTCATCCCATTGCAGACTGTCAGCAAAACATTGAACAAATCAAAGCTAGAGAGACCAGTGCTTTTGTAGGCCTTTCTTTTATTCTACTTTGGATTTATTGACGGGTTTATCACTACTTGCTACACTATCTATCAACTTCTAAGGGCCGACGCAGCATTTTTTACATAACAGAAGTTGAACAAACACGTTTCCAATAAAAATTGGAAGAAGAATAACTGCATAAGGAAGCAGTTATCACACTGGAGCTGCTGGAGTTACTCCGTGTGTGTGTGTGCGTGTGCGTGTGCACGTCCTGACAGTGTTCCTCCACAGAGGCTGGGCTGACCTGTAGAAGGACATCTTGGAGGATGCGTGTGCAAAGGCGCCTCCCAGGCCTCAGCCTCCTGCTTCTGTGGAGAGCTCTTGCAGAGCCCACAAGACTCTGGCTGAAAGGACAACTCACTTCACCTCTTAGGGCATTCTGTTTTCATCTTCTCTGACATCATCTTGGATGGTGTGTGCGATTGTCACAAAGCACCTTAGATGGGTAACTTTTAAAGACCAGAATTGGTTGCTCAAATTCTGGAGGCTGGCAAACCCAAGATTCAGGGTGGCTGGCCCAGTGTGTGGGGAGAGCTTGGCATCTGTGGCTGGAGACTTCACGTAAGGTCCTCACATTGGGGAAGGGTGCGGCAGTTCTCTGGGCTTCTCTGCCAGTCCATTAGCGAGGGTGGAGCCGTGCTGGCCTACAGGGCACCTCCTCAGGGCTCCTGAAGGGAAGCACTGCCCAGCTTAGGCTTCCAGCACAGGCATTTGAGTGACACCACAGTCTGACCACAGTGAGTTTATTAGACTACTTCTACTTAAACTCTTGCTTACAAGTGAAAATAATTCTAGAATTTATGCAGTCTGATGCTTCAGTGGAGAGAAACATCTAGGCCTGTAGTACAGCCCATCCCCTGATAACTTAAATCATGTGGTCACTGTCACCTCACTCTGCACCGTGCAGCAATCTCTCACGCACTCTCATCCCCTGTTGCGCAGAGCTGGTCTCTAGTGCCCTAGGAGCATGTTCTGCAGGCCTGAAGAGGATTGTTCTGCAGTGCCTGCTCCAGCTCGAGCAGGAGGCAAGTTCAGGGCCATCCTGACAACGGTGCCCCTGAGGCGGGGCTCACAGGCAACGCCATGGGCAGAGGGTGCTGCGAGCCTCAGGAAGTGGGGAGGAAGTGGAAGGACTTCTCCTTCCTGGCAGGACTGCATATGTGGAAAACTGAAAAAGCAAATGAGCCCGCTGCTGCAGACAGTGGCCAGGGAACGATTCCAAGTAGCCTGTTGCAAGGCAGCCTGTGAAATCAATAATGTATGTTTTTTAAATCACCGTTTAGAAGATAACCATGGAAAGAAAACAAAATTTTCAATTGTTAAAATATGGAAGCAGTCCAAGGATGGGGAACTTTAAAAGATCTCTGAAAGCCCAGATAGACCTAGCAATGGAAAGCTGAGCCACACAACCAGCTGGGGTCAACTTGTCACTGCGCTGTCCCTCCCAAAGTGATCTTACAACCCAATGCATCAGCACAGCAAATTAAGAATGAATTTGCAGTTAGAACAAGTCAGTCTTATAGCTGCTAGTCAGTAGTGAATCCAGGAAATCAGTCTACATGATTGCTGATATCATAAAAAGAAAGACAACATACAGGATATGGGGCATTGTGAAAAAATACAGAGAATATTTATTTTTAAAAATCCAAGACTGGGAGCCTGCCCCGTAGCTCAGTTCTTTAAGTGGCTGCTTCAACAAAGCAGTCAGGCTCAGGTTGCTGTGGTTTGATCCCCACAACTCAAGGCAGCCAAACCTGCCCTGCAGGCGTTCGGAAAAAAAATCCAAGACTATAGAAGGTACGAAGCCATGGAGACTGCTCAGAATGCCCCTGAACCATACTCATCCCACCATTCTTGCCACCTTCTGAAGCTGCTCTGGAGCCCTCTTTCCTGAGGGAGGTGTCACGGCTGTCTGTCCTGAGTCAGCTGATGCACTCACCTCCTGGGATCAGCTGGACTTTGGGAAGAGCCGAGTCACATGGTGCAGATCCTGTGAACAGCTGGGGAAGGACACAGCATCGCGGTTTTACGAGCTGCGTGGTGGTGACAACACCACCCTGTAGTTTCCTGTCGTGTTTCTGAAGGGGCCTCTAGAATGGCTTTGAGAAGTGGCCAGCACAGTGGGACCTGTTCAGAGTGAGGGGAGGACCTTGAGGGGACATCCTGGTAATGTGTCTTTTGCTGAATGTGTTTTTGTTCAAACACTCTGCCTGGCCTAGGGTGAGACACTCACTTCAGGGGCTATGCTTCCTCTTCTCTGGGGCCTCCCCATGTGACTCTCTTCCCAAAGGCTAGGTGGCCTCTCCAGCCTGCGGGCTGATTCCCTCATGGCGTCCCAGAGCAGAGCGCCCCAGGGAGGCTGATGCCTCTAGTAGGGAGCAGCTAGGGCCCTGCCAAGTTCGAGGGCCAGGGCTGAGAGAGCCACCTCTGGGTGGGCGGGCTGCATCCAGCCTGGCCCCAGGTGGGAGAACTGGGGAAAGCTGT